TCCTTGTACCGGCGCAATATATAGGAGGTATGGCAGAGTAATGGATAGCTGCATTGAGAAATCAGAGAGCCGAGTTCAAATTCCAATCAAGTCCATTGCACTCACTCGCATGCTAATACCCTTGGGAAAGGTATGAATCCTCTTCTTCTACCCCCAGCTATGAGTAAATAGCAGGACAGACTGGGTTCTATAGCCTTGAGTGGTAATCAGCCTAGGAGAAGGACAACTCTGAATTCAAAACCTGCAGAGGGTTATTTGGGGACCTTGTGGCACATTGTGCACCAGTTCTCTGTATTTCACTCTTCTAAAAAGTGTGGTTGGTTCTGCACAAGCCTTCAGCAGTATAATCAAATGATATATGCAGGAGTCTAGGAACTGAGTCACTTGACCTCATACATCAAAATCAACAGAAGAATCTATATAATATATATATATATATATATATATATATATATATATATATCATACTTATTATAAAACCCAGGTTGTGTGTGTGTCTGTACTTTTATATATTGGATCGGATTTCGTACATTTTTCAACCGATTTCAACAAAACTTCGTGAGGACTACATTAAAATTACCTTCTTGGTGGTTCTGACAGCACCAAAAATTGGAAAAACACAATTGTTTTTCACGAAATCAATTTGAAAACACGATTAAGAGGCATCGCTTTTGCGGAATGAAAGGGTGACAACTCATATCGAATTATACTTATTATAAAACCCAGGTTGTGTGTGTGTGTTCATTTATATATGGGATCGGATTTCCTACATTTTTCAACCCATTTCAACAAAACTCCACTTTTTTTGGCAGGTAGTGTTTCTTATTGTCTTGTACACTTTTTCTTTATTTTTACATTCAGAATGCTTTAAAAATTCCATTTACAAGACAATTGTTTATAATAAAATTCTATTCAATCGGTAGACTCATAACGATTGAAAACAATGTTTTTGTTTGAGTTTGGGTTTGACCAGCCAAAAAAAAAAAAAAAAAACAAAACTAATTAAGACATGCGTGTCCATCAACCTTAAACAATAATCTTTGTCAATTTTATTTTTCAGTCTTTATGATGGTCGATACTTGATCTATCTCTTACTGTTACAACGCCAGGCTCTACTGCTATATATATATATATATATATATATATATATATATATATATACTCTCAAGGTGTGCTTTATTTATGGGATAAAGTGCCCAATATCAGAGATAGTGCGTGTGTAAATATAAACGTGAACATTGAAGTCAACACTTAGAGGTGACAGGCTTTTTCATGCTAGACGCAATCATCCGGCTACCTGACGATTGCATCTTGCATGAAACAGCCTGTTGCCTCTAAGTGTTGACTTCAATGTTCACTTATATATATATATATATAAAATTCAGTGAATACTTGTACCTTTTGGTGAGTTTCTTTGTGTGTTGAATAAGCTATTCAATTTCTATAAACATGTTCTATTAATTCGAATAACAATAAATGATTTATTCAACATCTGGGGAAACATACCAATAGACTCAGCAAACATTTTTTAACTGTTCTATTCAATAGATATTTAAATGAAAGATTACAACCTAAAAATGTTTAAAATATGCACACATAAATACATCCCTTAAAATTTCTTGTAGCTCAATCAGCAAAACAGCTGGTATGTTTAACTAAGCTTGCATAAGTAAATCTAATAAAGATAAAAATCATATTACTATTGGTGTACACAAAAACAATAATTTATATCACCCAGCAATCAGAGAGAAGATAAAGATTAAGTTTAAATGGTTAGATTTGATCTTTTCTCAGCTATAGAAGTTCTTGTAGCTCAATCAGCAAAACAGCTGATACAGTTAAGCAGATTTCCTTAGTCAAGAAGATGTAACTTCAAGTCTTGTCAGGAGCTTCTTCCCCCACCCCAATCTGTGTTGTTTATTGACTGCCATAAATGTGAGTCTATTCAAATGTGTAAACACTAAAAATAACTTTTAAAGTAATAATCTGGGTACCGAGGTCAACACCAGGTGACAACAGTCTGTTTCATGCTTAAACACAATCTTCAGGCTTGAAGATTGTGTTTAAGCAGGAAACACTGTCAACCTCAATGTCTACTTTTATATTTACATACACTCTATCCCTGATATTGAGCACTGTAACCATATATAAAGCATACCTTAAAACTATATTTTTTATCATATATAATGTTATTCTGTCAGTAATATTTGCTTTAATTTCTGGCTATAAAACATTTTCTTTCTTGAGGGGTGAAACTAGTTAAACAAATGTTAATACAAAATTTAATGATCAATTTTTTTCCCTGTTACTAGAAATTATTTGTAAGTACAAATAAAATGATTAAAACCAAACAAGAAAGTAATATGATAGCACTAAAATCGATAAGTAGCAATAAAAAGGAATGGGGAAGAAAAGTTAAAATCTTGCATATGTAAACCAAGTTCAAATGCAGTCACTACTAAAATACGGCCATGAATAATTTACTTCCACCCCACTCGGTACTGAAATTTACTGAGGTCTCTATATGTAGTGACTGAAATTAATAAAAATGTTGACTTGTTTAACACCTCCTTTTAGTACATAGGCAATCATGGCTCTCCACAAGTTCCTATTCATTATTATTTGGGAATTGTCATTATGTCTTGGAAAAGATAGTGTAGTAGTTTCTCAAAGTTAGTTTAATATGAGTAGATAGATTTGCCTATTGCCCGGTTCACACTCCTCTTGGTCTACAAATTTAGAGGCTTATCACTTGTTTCCTGTTTAGGATTGGGTTTCCAGTTGTTTCTAAAGTCTATTTCAACTCTCTATATTTCTAACATCTCCACTGGAGCACTGAAATTTTATTTACTATTTTTTTTTTTTTTTCCCTCAATAGGAGTAGATAGACTTATCTATTGTTCAGTTCACACTCCTCCCCAGATTTTTGAACAAGCATAAAGGTCAGTCCCTTGTTTCTTGTTTAGGATTAGGTTTCCGGTTCTTTCTAAAATCTTTTCATTCTGTTTCACTCCCAGTGGCATTATCATCTTGCTTGCTTCATGGCATTATCGTCTTGCTTGAGATGAATTGAATTTTTTTTTTTAATTGAAAAGAAAAGAATAGAATCTATCTAAATTCAGATTCAATATAGAAATTGTCAATAAAATATTAATCATTTCACTCCAAGTAAGGTAATAAAGCCACTAAGACACAAGGGGTTACTGAATATGAGGGGGGAAAAACACATTATTAAGGAGAGAGAACCATAAAAGAACAGGAATAAAGAAGACAGAAGATAATGACTGATATTGCATTTAAATTTTTGAAGATCAAAGTTGACCAGAAAACAAGAAAATATTTTTAAATTGTAAGAATATCTTTTGTGGGGAAATAATTATGATTTAATGATACAAGTTTTACTAATTAACCAATAGTTTGATGGGTTGGGAAGAGGTTGATTCATTCCTTTCCTAAGGGTATTTGCATGTAAGTGAATATAATGAACCCAACTGGAATTGGAACTCAGCTCTCTAGTTAACATTTCCAAGCCATTATCAATATAGCTGCTAGCCTCTTGCTACTTTATCACTACTACCATGACACATGTTCTGAAGAGTTACATTCTTTAGTCTCACCACCCCTGACCTTTACAAATGGGACTCCCCCCCATGTCATGTAAACAAGAGTGCATCATCCCCATTCTCTTCATATTCATATAGTAAGAAGTAAGTTCCATTCAAACAGCCTCTTCCCAAGAGCTGCTGCTTTGTGGAACAGACTCCTGGCAGGATGTTTTCCCAATTACTACAATCTTGACTTTTTCACATCTAGGGTTAACCAATATCTTTGCTGTATAGCCCCCCAAAAAACTTCCTTTCTAGTCCTTTCTTATACTCATACAACACTACACAGTAACTCTCTACCTTGGGTGGCTCTTGGACCTTGTATTTGGTGAACATTAGTATAAAAAAACATTAGACTTTAGTGTTTTCATTAAGCTGATAAGAACAGCTGCTATATAATAACCCAAGTTATGTTTCTCTATATTTTGTGTGATTCAAACCTTGGAATAATTGGAATTGGTAACATTACAGTGTTTTCCTTACCTCGGATGAGGCGTTTCTTCATGTGGGTAGTGAAAAGACTTATGGAAGTATAGTCCTTTTTCCTCAAGAAGAAACCCTGCATAACAGATTATCAATCTTGCTACCTTTTTTTATTAATCATATTTTAAAATTTCATTTTAATGGATTCTCACTAAGAAAGCAACATTTTTACAATCATGACAGAAAGTAAAATTGTGACATGATTGTTCCTGTAAATGCAAGAATGGTAAACAGAACGATTCTAGTTGTTAAAAAAAATGTCTTTACTCATCTGTCAAGAAAGAAGAAACAAATGATGCATGCTTGAATTCTTTATTTTCTGTGAGAACTTTGATGTCCTGATTAAAACGGTTGTAACCTAAGGAAGGTTACTGAATAGAATAATCACATGAAGGTTGGTAATGAATGATAATACTTAGGACATGAACAACACATGCAAGATTTGCCAGTGGCGCATAGAATAAGTAGTCAACTGCTAGAAGTGAGTCAAGTGAATTCCACAACTGCAGACCAACATACAGTATTTACTACTGTATTTATATACCCATTATCGTCTGTAGGTATGCTACAACAGAAACATTGTGTTCTTTAGATATTAATTAGTAATTTCAATGATTTGCTATTACCAAATGAACAAATCCCATTGGTTTTGACTACCATATTGGTAATGAACGATAATATTTAGATTGTTCCTGTAAATGCAAGAATGGTAAACAGAACAATTCTAGTTGTTAAAAAAATGTCTTTACTCATCTGTCAAGAAAGAAGAAACAAATGACTTAGACAAAAAAATTTCAGTAATCAACTGCATAAATTAAAGTAATAAAAAAAATGATTTACAGAAAAGGGAGATAACTGCTTTTTTTATTCTTTTTTAATGTGTTTTTCAATGTTTTTTTTTTCTTCCTTCAGGTATTGAAAAAGAAGATGGAGAAGCTGCAATAAAAATCTTTCAGGACAGTGGCTTTTCCCCAAAACTCCATCAGTTGGATGTCAATGACACTGGTAGTGTAAATGCATTGAAACATTCTCTCGTATCAAACAATGGTGGTTTAGATATTCTTGTCAACAATGCAGCAATTATGTACAAGGTGAAAAAAATTCCTGATTCTTGTAGTGTGTTTAGTTTGCTGGTTCTAATAAAAAAAATATAAAGAAAGGTTTTATTAAGAATTTTTTTTCTTTTATCAGCAATAAATCATTCATTACAATATATTTAATAACAGTTAATTGAAATTTTTAAAAAGTATATGATTAGCTGAAAATCCTTGATAGTTGAATACTATCACGATAATACACAACTGGTATTTTGCACGGAGTGATCTTTCACTATACTGCATATAAGCCCATTGGATGACAGAAGGGATACAACTCCCAACACTAAGAAATATAGGCAATCTTGGACCTTTGTGCCTGCAAAAGAACAGGGTGTTAAAAGGACAATTTTTTCCTTGACACCACTATTATTTTAACTACCTTCATCTTCATTGTTTTTAAAATTAATGTAATAAAACTTAAATGTATGATGAAAGTGAAATTTTTGTACTTGAGAATTTACAACAAAAATATTAAACATTATTTACATTTATTTCTGAGATGAGGTATTATGTACATTATTTACATTATTCGGACTATTGTCCTCATCTTTGTTGCCATATTTATCCCAACGTTTTGGCCATTGTACGCTCCGGCCTTCTTCAGGTGGATGGAATGTCGAAAGTTGCAATATGAGCTCTGGTAAAAACAGGAAATGATAACAGCAAAAAATTACAATACACTGGTAAAAATGGTTGCTGAAGACATCAAGTTTATAATACCCAGAAATTCATACACAGATGTCCTCAAGATGGCACAGTGAATAAAGATGTTGGTTAGATCCAGTGACAGCACCCAAAGAGTGTGAGTTCAATACCCGGTTAAAGCAGTGGAGAACTTGGAGAGGGAGATAACTGATAACTGACATCCATTAAACATGGCATGTAAAACTAGAACAGTCTACTCCAGTGAGCAAAATAAAGGGTTCAGTTTCCAACTACCTGAAGAAGGCCAGAGCGTACAACGGCCAAAACGTTGTAATAAATATGGTGACAAAGATGAGGACAATAGTCCGAATAATGTAAATAATGTACATAATACCTCATCTCAGAAATATAGACAGATACTGAAAAATATTAAACACAATTACATTTACAAGAATAATTTTGTATCTACAACATTCTAAAAACAATACAATGGAATATTATTTACCAATTTATAAAGAAATAAATATGAAAACAATTTTCTTATTCAGAAATTTATAAACATTTACTAAATTATTAAAACATGTAAACTGACTATAAAGAAATCTTTATTGTTTACTATTTTGAATCAATTGACAATGAGCCAATGTTTTGCCAAACATTCCAATAAACAATATAATAAATATTGTAAATAAAGACTCTAATAAATAAATAGTGTTTAATATTAAACTTTTTAAAACAATAAACTTTACCAAGGAGGGAAAGTAGTTAAGGTGTCAAGGAAAAAATCATTTTTTTTAACACTCCATTTTTTTGGCAGACATGAAAGTCCAAGATTACCAAAATATATTTGATTTATTAGACAACCTAACTGTAATAATGAAATGACTTAGACAAAAACATTTCAGTAATCAATGACCAAAACATTTTTATTATTATTAATTTGATTTTTTCCTCTTAGGATTTGATTAATCAGACTTCAATGGCTTTACTTTTATATTTTCAAAATACTATTATTAATAAAGAATTAAGTCTGTATTTTTAGTTTATATTTTACTCTGTAAATTTGCAAAGTGGTTTTTGTTTAATAAAAGTCTCAAAGACAAAATATAGACAGATACAAAAGTTTTGCTAACATAAAACTAAGGTTGGCATTCCTTCAGATGATGAAATCCAACTTTACATAGGTAAAACAATAAGTCTATAGCATAAAGATGTAAAAAGCATTTATTTTACACAAGAAATATTTATTGTTCTACATAACCTCCTTCCTTGTTAATGCACTTAACATGTTTATAATAATTACAAAGATCAAACATTATTCAGTGAAAATTTCAAATCAAATGAAGCTGTGTCATACTAAGTAAGGACTTATTGATGACTCTCATATTATTAAACAGAATAAAACTACATGTTTTTTTAGTATAAACAAGATCTCTGAATCTTTTCTTCTTCAGAAAGATTCTAAAGTACCATTCTCTGAGCAAGCAGCCAAAACTCTGCAGACAAATTTCTGGGGTGTAGTCAATGTTTGTGATGCTTTGTTTCCAATCTTACATCCACATGCCAGGTAAGGTTTTTTTCTTATCTTTTTTTTTTTTTTTTTTTTTTTAAATGGTTTGTCATTGCTGACAAGGGTTGTACAAAATCTAGCCGAAATGTATCCAACCATTTTGAGTTTCTTGAGAAACAGCAGCATGATTTTGATGCAACTTGATAACCAATGAGAAACCATACAACAGACATGAAAACAGACACTCTCCTCTGGAGTTACTTAGTCTGTGATGCAGACAATTCAGATATATCTGAAATGTCTCCTTTAATTGAAAAGATAAAAAAAGATTTTGATTTTATAAGGAAAGAAACAAAATCTAAGCTAAGGCTGCTAAGATTTATAGTAAGAGAAGTTTTTTTCCTCATCACATAACCTTTATTAATATCAGTATAATGGAAAGCCGCTCGGATTGAGGAATCAGAGTGCTGAGTTCGAATTTCAGTCAAATCGATTACATTCACTTACATGCTAATACCCTTGGGAAAGGTATGAATACTCTTCTCCCACCGCTATGGGTAAATAGCAGGAAAGACTGAGTTCTATAGCCTTGGATGGCAACTGGCCTACCGCAGAAAGAAATGGAAACCTACTGCAGGAAAAAAATATGCCTCATCAGTCATGTATTGAAAGATACATGATTACCTAAGCATGTAACACAAGCGGCACATAACTGATAGTTAACAGATATCCAGTGGAATAGGTGAGCTGAGTTCAAATTTCTTTTCTCCTTTCATCAAGATCAAACTTTAATATTTGTCAATATTTTGTTTCTCTTGACATATAAGAAGACAAGAAAGCACTATAAACAAATATCTCTCCCAATATTATTGCTGCTACAAAAACTGAACAATCACGTTACAGATCTGTGATGCCATTTGTGGCGGCATTCTTTGATCATCCATTGTTCACTGCACCAGTTATGACATCCAAAGTTGGTTGTATTTGCATATACACCCAATACGCTATGTGCACAAGTTTTTGTTGGCTGTGATCGCTTTCAACCAATAATAATGACGACAAATATTTTTAAAGACACTGGTTGGGAGTTTGCAACAATATGATTTCTAACTTAGCCAGCTATCTTTTCCTTCGGCTCAACTGCTATCTCCCTATGCTAATTGGTCCCTTTCTCACTGGCCTATGGGCTCGACAACTCCTGATTCCTCACTACCAGTCCTTCTGTCACTAGTCAACTCCTAACTCCTCTGATCACCTACCTACTTCTCTAATGGCTGGACCCCCTTTCTGTAACTTCCTGCCTCTCTCTGCTTATATGGATAATCACACACACACACACACACACTCTATTCACTTGTGTTCCAGAAGATTTGGAACCACCCCAAAGCTACATGTGCGGTCAAATCTTTAAAGGACTACTTTTATGATATCTAAAATCATGCATAAAATTTTTGTGTTTCCCAATTCAAAGGCAGACTGGAGACATGAATCCTAAAAACCACTGACAATTAAGTTTACAAAAAGACAGACAAGAGATGAAATTCCTACGAAACTCTCATCCTGGGTATGACAATAAACTACATCCACATCCTGGGTATGATGATAAACTATGTCCAGCAGCAAGGCCTCTGATCAGGAGGTTTTGAGGAGCGTGGAACCACCTCTTAATTGCTGATGTTCCCAAGTCCACCCTGACCCGGAGTGGTAGCACCTGTTAGGGTTCCAGCTATGGGCAAATAGTTAACACCCAAACTTGTGTAAAAATAGGTTTTAATACCAGAAATACTTTTGTAATAAAAAAGTTATTACCAGCAATAATTTTTGAAGGAAAAATTATCAGCAATACTTTAAAAACAAAAAATACCATCAATGCAAACAGCTATACATTCTTTGAAAAAAATATGACCAGCTATAGATTTCTTCAAGGAAAAATATTGCCAGAAATAAATTTTTGAAGAAAAACATATTACCAGCAATAAAAATTTTGTCAACATTAAATAACCCATTGGGGTTGATATGCTGTAAAACAAAAACCAAACATATGAAACTCAGATAACTAAGTGGACTTAAAAGAAATTTATCTACTTCTAAAGATGTGTGAGAAACTATATTGTTACAGATCCAAGATTGCAATGGCAAAAACCCTGTATTAATTATAGCAATGATGTCATCACTTACATCATCATTACTCTATTACTGTACAAATTATGCTTGGCTTCCATTCATAAGTGTGACTCTAAAAGGGTGTAAGTTGACATAAACCCTTTTTTTCATGTTTTCCATTTTTGAAATGTGCAAACAGATCTCTATAAGAATGACGTAGATAATATTTTGATACAAAGATTTTTGTGAAATCAGGCCCCAGTTTTTAAAAATCATGCAAAAAAAAGTGTATGATGAGTTAGGACTTTTTCAAATTTCATTTTATTTTCATAAAAAATGCAATTAGGCTCTTTTAATATCACACTGACACATCAGGATCGAACATTTTCTTACCTCTTTGATTCTTCTGCAAGTCAGAATGGTGTCTAATAATTATATCTGTTAATTCATTGTGGTATTTCATCCTACAAAAAATATTCAACATTAAATAACTCAATGAGGATTAGCATGCTGTTAAATGAACTTTTTACTGACCACTGCAAAATCCAGTATTAATTATTGCTTCTAAAAAAAAAAAATCTCGTAATATAGGTTTGTAAAACCTGGTATTAATTATGGGTTTTACAAAAAAACCTGGTTTTAATTATGTCTTTGTAAAAAAAAAAAAAAAAAAAAAAAAAAATATATATGCTATTAATTATGGGTTTCTATAAGATAAAACCTGATATTATGGGTTTTAAAAAAACAATGGTGTTATGCATTTCTAAACAAAAAACCTGGTATTAATTTGTGTTTCTAAAACAAAAAAAAACCTGGTATTAATTTGTGTTACTAAAACAAAAAAAAACTGGTATTAATTTGTGTTTCTAAAACAAAAAAAACCTGGTATTAATTTGTGTTTCTAAAACAAAAAAAACCTGGTATTAATTTGTGTTTCTAAAACAAAAAAAAACTGGTATTAATTTGTGTTTCTAAAACAAAAAAAAACTGGTATTAATTTGTGTTACTAAAACAAAAAAAACCTGGTATTAATTTGTGTTTCTAAAACAAAAAAAAACTGGTATTAATTTTGTGTTTCTAAAAATAACCCATGATATAATTTATTGGTATTATGGGTTTCTAAAAAAAGAACCCTGGTCTTAATTATGGGTTTCTAAAAAAAAAAAAAAAAGAAGAAACTGGTATTAATTATCAATTTCTAAAGAAAAACCTGGTATGATAGGTTTCTAAAGAATCTCATATTAATTATATAGTTAAAAAAAACTTTGTTATTGTGGAATTAAAAAAAAATATCTTTGGCTAATTAAAGGTTTTTAGAAATCCAATATTAATTATAGCTTTCCACCTATAAACCATCATTCCTACGATTCAAAAAATAGGATGATGGGCATTAATGGGATATTCAACTTTACCTAACCATTATGATTCTATCACTATGATATTATAAATTTATTACTAAATCCAAAAAAAAACAAAAAATTGTCTTAGTAAAATCAGAAAATATCCCAGATTTGGCTCTAGATTTTATCAATTGTTCCTTTGTCCATAACTTGGCCTTTTTAACAAAATTTATTTACAATTCATTGAGAACTTTTGGAGATATTGTGTGGGCAGGCACATAGACAAACATGGGTGAATACATCACCTTTGTCCAACTTGGCAGAGGTCAAAATTTTCTTTCAAGATTACATCCAGAGAAAGTGAGTGCTTTCACCAATTCCCAAATGTTGCATATAGCAAATTTGTATGACATGAATGTGAATAAAAGACAAATGATGAATGTTTTCTCTCTGTAAATTGAAGGGTTGTCAACATCTCCAGTCAATTGGCCAAGAAATCCTTTGAAGAATGTTCTGAAACATGGCGCTCTTTGTTCCAAGACAGTAATCTGAGTAAAGAAAAACTTTTTCAGATGATGAAACAGTTTGTCTGGTAAGTTCATATCTATTTTGTTTTTTTAATTTAAAGAAAGACTAGCAAGGGGATGTAACAATTAACAAAGGGACCGGTATGTGTGTCCCCAGGCTTAGAGACATTACTACTAGTAGCATGGTAGCAGTGAGAATAGGATTAAAATTATGAGAATAATTTTTAATGTTCTATAAAAATAGGCATTTATCACATATATACATACATGTGTTTAGCTGTAATCTCTGTGAGTCTTCTACCATGTGACCCCTTAGTGGTAAAGAAACTACCACATGTTCTTTAGCTTGTACGAGTCTATCATGCTCATACATACATAGATACATACATATATATAAATACAAATCACATACAATGCCAAGAATTCATTGGTTAATTAATCACCACTACATTATTTAAAATTTATATATATATATATATTATATATGAGTGGTACTTATTGGAAAGCACTCAATATCAGTGATAGAGCTAACATTCTTAGCTATATGGATGTGAGTTTTTAACCCTAGGTTTCATGCTTTTGCAATCCTCTTTATTTTACATTCAACACAATCACTTGATGAGACACCAGAAGTGTTGAAACAAAATGGCGATTTTTGTAGTGATGTTATAACATGTTTATGCTATAATTTTTCAATAAATAAAAAATTATATATATATTTGTTTGAATAAAAAATAGACCACTTTAAGGTTCCATGTAATAAATTATTTCACCACAGCCCTTTTAAAGGGCTCTGGATCATCAGACTTTACTTCCAAAGGTTGAAATGAAAAATGAAAAGAAATTTACACATTTTTGACGGGCCGTATTAAGCATATGTAAATTAACAAAGTGAGGAAGTGAGGGGGGAGAAAAGACATGAGTGTGTTAGATGTACCATTTCAATTCTTTATCCCTAACCCCACTTGGTGTGGGCCAGACAACGCTTAACTTAATGTATGTTATCTTTAGATATGGATGGGTAAGTGATGGAGAGGAAAGCTGACATAAAAGGAAGAAGATACAATAAAATAATCCTGATGAGAGAAGGTTTCACTCAATTTCTTGGACGCTGTAATTTCGCATTACTTTAAAGGATATATTTGGGGGTTAAAGTTTGATATAAATCTAAATGTCTACAAAATCTACGAAGAATTTAATTTGATGTTTGTTGGAGTTTTGGGTATTTTCTATGAAATAGTCTATTGGAAAAGATTCATAGAAAGTACATGTCGAAAGTAGATGTAAATTTCTTTTCATTTTTCATTTCAACCTTTCGAAGTAAAGTCTGATGATCCAGAGCCCTTTAAAAGGGCTGTGGTGAAATAATTTATTACATGGAACCTTAAAGTGGTTTGTTTTTTATTCAAACATATTTGCTCTGAATTTACATTGAGCTCTCCGGATATCATCCTCCTTGGGTCTACCCATACAGATTACCTAGTTTTGCATAAACTATATATATATATATATATATATATATATATATATATATATACACAGACACATACATAAAAAAATGGAATAAATCCTAAAGAGCCAGAAATACCTACCTAGGTTTTACCTAAACAGATCTTCAGGGTAAGCTGGCTAAGAAGGAAATGACATGAAACAGTGTATGTATGTATGTGTGTGTGTGTGTGTGTGTATATATATATATATGTATAATCAACTCTCACATCGAACCCGATGTACGAGGGTCAAGCAGATCAGTTCCTAGGAACCTACAGCCTGACACCAGTACATGAGATTTGATTATAGTGGTGAAGGTTTTGTGCAGAACTGTCCATACCTTTTTAAGGGCCAAATACAGAGACCTGGTGCACTATGTACCACAAGGTCCCCAAACAATCCTCCGCAGGTTTTGAATTCAGATTTGTCCTTCTCTTAGGCCAGTTGCCATCCAAGGCTATAGAATCCAATCTGTCTTGCTATTTACCCATACCTGGAGGAAGAAGAAGAGGATTCATACCTTTCCTGAGAGTATTAGCACGTAAATCAGTGTAATGGATTCGACTGGAATTCAAACATGGCTCTCTGATTCTTCAATCCAAGCCGCTAACCATTACTCCACCGTGACTATATATATATATATAATCTTGTTTAATTCTTTTTTATTGTATTTTTACAATTTTCAAATGAGATGCTGTACATCAGTGAAAGTATAAAATTATTACAAAATATCTGTAGTTGAAGGCATAAAATTGCATACAAAATAGATTCCAGTATTAAATAACCCATAGAGGTGTTGATATGCCACCAAACAAAATCAACGAACCAAAAAAATTCATGAACCAATGCTGTAATTCACTAGATTATTTAAAAAATTTTTTTTTTTGTAATGACATTCACAATGCACAAGGCCCAAGGTCACTAACCATTACTCCATCATGCCTATATATGTAATCTTGTTTAATTCTTTTTTTATTGTATTTTTACAATTTTCAAATGAGATGCTGTACATCAAGATTATGGATAAATTGTCCTAACTTCATATTTTGTTCAAGTACTTTCCACTATTTCTGACATTATCAAGAATTCAACATTATCATTATGGTAAACAAGGAGTTATCATTATTTACATATGTCCTCCTCTTATGAGCACAATGTTTCAGCTGTTATACACTCTAGCCTTCTTCAGGTATCTGCCATGTAAACCACAATGTAAACTTCATGAAATTTCAAACTGAACCCTTTATTTCATCTACAAGGATAGATTGTTCTTTTCCAGTTGTCCATACCTACAGATGTCTAGTCCTGATCTTTTTAGTATTGCCTGGTTATTGCTTGCCATGTTTCCACTGAGTCTGTATTACCTGACCCAGGAATTGAACTCCTAACTACTATGCCACCAAATTAATGCTCCTGGGTATGATGATAAACCACACCCCAGCCTCTGATCAGAAGATTGGAGGATTTGAGGAGCATGGAACCCCCTTTTAATTGCTATTGTTTTCAGAACCACCCTGACCTGGGTGGTAGCATGTGTTAGTGTCCAAGTTATGGACAAGTAGTGAACCTACAAACAAAAATCAACAGGACATTTTTATAATTACATTATTATATTACTAACAATACATTTTTATAGTAAAATGACCAACAATACATTTAAATAAAATTATCAATATATTTTTGTAATGAAATTACTAATATTAGTTAATAATTATAATAATGAATTATTAGTTAATAATAACACCCAAACTTGTGTAAAAATAGGTTTTAATACCAGAAATATTTTTGTAATAAAAAAAAATTATTACCAGCAATAATTTTTGAAGGAAAAAATTATCAGCAAAACTTAAAAAAAAAAAAATACCAGCAATACAGTTATATATTCTTTGAAAAAAATATGACCACCTATAGATTTCTTCAAGAAAAAATATTCCCAGAAATACATTTTTGAATAATATTTTGAATTCTAATAATGAAATTACTAATTATTTTTTTTTTAAATTACCAACAATATATTTTATTATCTATAAATTATATATCTAAAAAGCATGTTTACCCTGAAAATATAAAATTATTACAAAATATCTGTAGTTGAAGGCATAAAATTGCATACAAAATAGATTTTGGTATTAAATAACCCATAGAGGTGTTGATATGCCGCCAAACAAAATCAATCAATCAACCAACCAACCAAATTCATGAACCAATGCTTTAATCCACTAGATTATTTAAATTTTTTTTTTTTGCAATGATGTTCACAATGCCCAAGGCCCAAGAGCCACTCAAGGTATAGGTTTACAGAGTAAGAGGCATAGTTTATGGGAATATGTGGGGAAGATAATGGTTGATCCTCGACTTGAACACGTTAAGATTGTAATGATTGGGGAAGCATCCTCTTGGGAGTTAGTTCACAAAGCAGCAGTTTGTGGGAAGAAACTGCTTGAGCAGAATTTACATCTGACCAATGGAATACAAAAGGACTGATGGTGATTTGCTACAATGTACAAGTCTTAACCATGAAGGTTAGAACTGGTGGAACTAAGGAATATAGTTTGTCTGAACACTTTCCATGGAAATAGCAATGAAGCAGTGAGAGGCTTGCAATGTTTTGTCTGTGAGAAAAAGGGTTTTAGGGTTGAAAATAATTCATCACCCACAAGGATGAAGAGATGCTTTTGGAGTCTAACAAGACTGGAAAGTGAAGACTGGGCTATTGACAGATACCTGAAGAAGGCCAAAGGACACAATGGTTGAAACATTGTGGTAATAACAATAAAAATGAGGAGATTAGCCCTAATGCAAATAATGATAACTCCTCATCCCAGAAATTTAGACAGGAATTGACAATGCTGCCAATTTATTTCAGTGATGCTGAAAAAGGAAAGGCTGAGGTTGAAGGCTGGTCAACACACAGTTATGGGATTTCAAAACTTGGGGTCATGCTTTTAACACAAATTCAACAGAAGGATTTTGACAATGACCCTCGAAAAGACATTATTGTAAATTCAGTAAGTGACTGTTTTTTTGGGTTTTTTTTGTTGTTTTTTTTGTTTTGTTCCTGTTTTCCATACATTTTTCCTGCAGATAGTTGATTTTCAACAGTACTTTTCATTTGAACATAATCCTATGTCCTGGGTATGATGATAAACTACATCCGACTGCAAAGCCTCTGATCAGGAAATTTAAATTTTTGAGGAGTGTGGAACCACCTCTTAATTGCTTTTGTTCTGAGATCCACCCTAACTCTGGGTGGTAACACTGTTATTGTCCCAGCTATGGGCAAATAGTGATCTCCCAAACAAAAAGTAAACATTATGAAAGTATGAAAATACATTTTTATAGTAAAAATACCGGCAATACATCTTACATATTATAAAATGCAGATTGTGTGTGTGTGTGTGTCTGTGTGTCTGTGTGTTTATATATTGGATTGGATTCCCTACATTTTTCAACCGATTTCAACAAAACTTCACAGGACTGCATAAAATTACCTTGCGGTGGTTCTAACAGTGCCAAAAATTGGAAAAACACAATTGTTTTTGCATGAAATCAATTTCAAAACACAATAAAACGATTCTGTCGCCAGAATGAAAGGAGGACAACTCATATCGAGTTATACTTATTATAAAACCTAGGTTCTTTGTGAGTGTGTGTGTGTGTGTGTGTTCATTTATATATGGAATCGGATTTCCTACATTTTTCAACCAATTTCAACAAAACTTCACTTTTTTTGGCAGGTAGTGTTTCTTATTGTCTTGCACACTTTTTTCTTTATTTTTACATTCAGAATGCTTTAAAAATTCCATTGACAAGACAATTGTTTTTTAATAAAATTCTATTCAATTGATAGACTCATAACGATTGAAAACAATGTTTTTGTTTGAGTTTGGGTTTGACCAATTTGTAAAAAAACAAAAAAACTAATGCGTGTCCGTCAACCTTAAACAATAATCTTTGTCAATTTTATTTTTCAGTCTTTATGATGGTCGATACTTGATCTATCTCTTACTGTTACATCCCTGGGCAACGCCAGGCTCTACTGCTAGTATTTATATAAAAATAAAAATTAACAACAATTTCTATTTATAGTAAAAATTAACAATATATTTTATCTGTAGTTGAAGGCATACAACTGTGTTCAAAATATTTAGATTTCGTCATTAAATAACCCATAAATGCTGCTAATCAAAATCAACCAAAATTCATTTGAATAACACACATAGCCAATCACCTTCTTTCTTGTTTTCCTTGCAGTGCAATCCTGGGTGGACCAGAACACAGATGGGTGGACCAAATGCCACAAAAAGTCCAGAAGAAGGTCAGTTGAAACTTCCCTTTTAAAATTTTGACTTTTACTTAATTCAGAAATAAACTCTTAATGATGTAGAAGACAACTCTGTTGTCCAGACAATTCATCTTATTCTTTTTATTTGTTACCACAGTTTTTCAATTGGGCCACTGTTCAACATTTTACATGGAAATTGCTTTCAAGTAGTGACTACCAATACAGTAAAACAGAAAATGGTGGCCAACTGGTGAACACTGTCCTGGGTATGACGATAAACTACGTCCAGCAGCAAGGCCTCTGATCAGGAGGTTTTGAGGAGCATGGAACCACCTCTTAATTACTGGTGTTCCCAGGTCTACTCTGACCCAGGGTGGTAGAACTTGTTAGGGTCCCAGCTATGGGCAAATAGTTCACCCCGAAACTGGGGTAAGAACACTATGTAAGTGTAAAAATAGGTTTTAATACCAGAAATACTTTGTAAAAAAATTATTTCCAGCAATAAATTTTTGAAGAAAAAAAAAAACCATTACCAGTAATACATTTTTGAAAAAAAAAATATTACCAACAATGTTTTTTAAAAAATAAATATTACTAACAATACATTTTTGAAAAAAAATATTACCAGCTATACATTTTTGAGGAAAAAATATTACCAGCAATACTTTTTTGAAGAAAAAATATTACCAGAAATAGTTTTTTTGACAAAACAAAATATTACCAACAATAAAAACTGTGTCGACATTAAATAACCTATTGAGGTTGATATGCCATAAAACAAACCAAACCAACTGGTGAACAATATATTTGAAGGAAGAAATTTCCATTCTCTTTGCACATGGATCACGCACATGAAGAAATCCTTATCTGGAATTTTGTAAAAGATCAGTTTAGAATGATAATGGCTCATCTCAAGATTATAGAATGTTTCATTATAACTGAGAAAAGCTGAGGAATGAATTGGCTAAAACATAATAATAGCAACAGCAACAAACAAAAGCAAAAAAAGCAACAAAAGAGAGATCATTAGTCCAAATAACTCTTAGAATAATAATGACTCATCTGAAAATTACATAACATCTCTTTGTAACCATGAAGAAATGCAAAAAAGTCTCATTGTACACATTGCATTCCTCCATTGCACTAAAATAGCGAAATGGTTCAAGCAGTGTCAAGAGTATCAGTTGCACCAGAGGGACCACCTCAGTGTCTGTCTATATTTCTGAGATGAGGTATTATGTACACTGTTTACATTGTTTGGACTATCATCCTCATCTTTGTTGCCATATTTATCACAAAGTTTCAGCCGTTGTACACTCCTGCCTTCTTCAGGTGGTTGGAATGTTGAACTGAACCCTTTATTTCACTCACTGGAGTAGACTGTTCTAGTTTTACATGCCATGTCTAATCTATGTCAGTTATCAGTTATCTCTGGGATGAGAAGTAATCATTATTTACATTATAATTAGAAAACAATTGTAGATTAAATAAAGGGTTCACTTTGAAATTCCCTCAGGGCTACCCAGATTAACATACATATGATAAACGTGAGAGGGCACAATGGTTGAAATGTTGTGATAACAACAGAGATGAAGATAATAGTGTGCATTTACATAATGTAACTAACCTAAAGGAATTTTAAAAAAATATATCAAAATTTTTTTTTCCCTTTAGGGAAAAATCCCTTTACTCTTTTACTTCATTATTGCTTTTCGATGAGATTCATTTTAACTTTACATTTTTTTATTCTTTTTTCAATTTCTTTTTCTCTTTATTAGACGTGTTTGTTCAAATAAAAAACATATAATAATTATCGATTTGTATTTATATATTTCCTGTGCCATCTTTAATGGGAAGAGGAGGAAATCAACTTAAGTTTGTAAATTTATGAGTGATTACTTCCCTTAGTAGTTTTGAAATGAAATATTTATCTGAATTTACAGATCACAACAATTATTAGAGAGATGTGATTTAATATTTAAAAAAAAAATTATTCAGTATTATTATTGTTTAGGTAATAAGCATTATAACATATCACAAATAGCTATATTGTGGAAAAAGGAATTTTCAACAATATATGCATTTTTTACGTATTTTTGGTTATTTTTTAACTTTTATCAAAAATGAGATTCTTGTACATGTAGCTATGGATAATAGACACTAATTACTAATTTTTATAATTAATAACAATTTGTGTTCAGTTGTTAACATTAATAGCTATCTGCTGATGTGTTAAAATTTTGGAATAATGCAATAATAAAAATTTAAATTTCATCTCTCTGAGAGATGTCGTGAATTTAATGTTGTTAAATAAAATTACATCCCAAGCAAAAATAATAGGTTTCTTTACTCTTATGTATCTTAGACTGCAGTCTTATTTGTTCAAGCCTTTCATGCAAGGTACTCAGATACCTCTGTCTATTAAGTGATCGTCTTGCTTCAAGTTGGTATTGAAATAGGCTTTACTATGATAAAGTACTGTATCCAACAAATGAGATATGCAATGAAAAATTTTTCTACTATATATTATGAGATTATTATAAAAAATAGGCTGTCATTTTTGACTGCATGTGTACACTAGTGCATATATATATATATATATATATATATATATATATATATATATATATATCATTTGTTCGATACAGTACTTTATCATATGCATTTTAACTCCTACTTGGAATAATTTTACAGTAACTGGTAAAATAGAGACAATTATATTTGATTCACAAATTTAATTCCTTGTACTCAATCAATCAAAACAGTAAGGGAAGTAATCACTCATTAATTTACTAACTGAAGTTGATTTACCTCCCTTTACACTACAGATGGGACAGGAAATATATAAACAAATACACATTGATAATTATTTTATGGTTTGATTGATTTAGGTTACATATGAATTTCTATTGCTCAAAAATACAAAATTGATTTCATTCACCTTTGTGGATCTGGTTGAGAACCAGCATTCAGCCCACATCTTCATTTTAGGACATTGGCAACCCTACATTGGTCTACTTCATCAAGGCAGTGATTAGAATAGGTAACAAAGGGAATAAAATTGGTCAGATTTTCTTTGTCTTAACTCTAGAGATGGAGTTAAACAGAACTAATTGATATAGGTCCTCTTGGCACATAGCTAACAACAAAACCCAAACTAAAGTTCATTATATTTGGTTTCCAGACAATGACATAATTTTCATGAATGCTTTCAGTTATGATTTGAATTCCAGAATTTCGTTATTAAATAGGAATATTAGGCTAGTCTGAATCCCTTCTGACCCAATTTCCAGTCCTCAATCACATCTCCCTATTTATTGATGGCTCAAATGATCCTATTACCAAATATGTTCAATTTTACTACCCTTATATAGTCTCCTTTAGCTATCAAGCCATTTCCATATTGGAAATAAAATTATGGGGAGCTCATAAAATAACAAATTTGTTTATTACTACTACATGTCATTGACTGAGATCAGCACTATAGACACAAGGAGATGCCGAAAAGTTTTCACTTACCAAAATCTGTATCAACATTAATTTTTTTGCAGAAGGTCTGAGAACTTTTCTGCCCTGCCCCATTTTATAGTTCAAGTTCAGGTCTAAATGAAGAGCTGGTAAGGGTTCAATCATAGGTCAGCAAAGACAAACAAATGCAGATAAATGATGCACATTTGGGAGTTGTAATCAGAACTAACTACTCTCTGTTTTGGAGCCCTTTATGTAACTACAAAATGGATGAAACAAAATTTGATTGGTTAGTTGTGTTTTTTATTATTATTTATTATTATTATTATTTCACTAAGCTCTGATTGTCCATAGTGGCTTATTGTTGACTTTTTCATAGTTTTGAATTCAGAGATTGGTTGTCACCCAAAACTAGAGAGTGCGGTCTACTCTTCTATTCAATCCATAGCTGGGGAGATAGTTAAATTGGTAAAATAATAATAAAAAAAAATGAGTCATTGAACAAAGATGCTTCACATTCCATCTTAGCCCTTAGCTTCATAAAAACACCCTCTTCTCTTCCTCTTATTTTAATTACATCATAATCTCTTTGAATAATTTCAGGTGCTGATACCCCAACTTTTTTGGCCCTTTTGTCATCAGCACTGGACACACAAGACCCACTTCCAAGAGGCAAATTCTGGGAGGAAAGAACTGTACAGGAATGGTGGTGAATTTCCTAGAAAGCAATTTGACAGCAAAACTGATTTGTCCACCTTCAATCTCTAATTCTTTATATTTGCGTATAATAAATAGAAAATATCTACACACAACTAAATTTATAAGTTGTGTATTGAAAGTTATGGAATAAAAGGATCATCTTGTTGGAAATGAATGTTACATAATTGTTTTTTTAAAAACAACTGAAGGTTCTTACCAGGTGACATTCTGGAAAAAGAGGGTGTGCAGTTACCTTCATGATCCAATTAGCAGTGGTGGGGATTTTTAAAGCAGTTTTCTTTTTGTTCTTTTTTTTATGTATTGCACCAATAAACAGTGAGAAATAGTCTACATGTTGGCCATCAGTAATCCGGCATTGATTTCCACAAAAGCAATTTCAGATGTCTTGAATCAACCATTACTATTTGGTGGCTTTACTTACTACATCAGCTGTTTCTGAGTACTTTCAGAACACTGGTAAGGAATTTCTATTTGTCTTTTGTGTATTTTTATTATAACCTGGTAACATTTGAACTCAGTTATAGATCCAATGAATACAGGAAGCATATCTTGTGGTGTGAAGCAGAAACACCAAATGTAGTCCATAATAGATAAAGTGAACTTCTGAAAAGAACTTGACAATGGTGTGTCTGTAAAGCTTGTGTGATTTATATGGCGTTGGTTCATCTATATTTTATGACAAAGAAACAGGGGAAAATGGTTCAAATTCAACAGAATTACTTGTAACCTTTTTTTTACTTTTGTTTCATTAAAATTTCAATTGATTTTTATTTAATTTATTTGTTATTTACCATTCACTGTGTGTTTGTGTTTGTATGTGTGTGCACACACACACACACACACACACACACACACACATATATATATGAATGAACATACTTATAAAGATGCGTAAATTTCAAGATTAGTTATTCCTAGATTATCACTTGAAGGGCTCGATACTTCAAATTAATTTTAATAATTATATTGAGGTTTTTGGCTCTTGTTTTTGAAACATGAGAACTCTTATGTAGCAAAGGAATCATATTTTTAAAAAAATAATTATAATTTTAATTTAGGCTCTACTTTTGTATTGAGCACTGTTTTTTAAAAATAAAAACAAAAATACTAAAGAACTCCGGATTATTTACCTAACATGTTCTTTCCTATTTTTCTAATAATGGTAGCATCCTTAATTTCCAGGAACTGGTTCTATAAAGGCAGGTAATCTTTAGGAACCTATCCTGCTTATTTTCTTTTCAATCTGAGAACGAAAACAAATCACTTTATAGAATCAAAAAGAATTAAACTATTTAAATTAATTTAATAGAAAGCATTTATTTATTAAGATATTTCCAGATTGTAATTCTGTTCTCATCATATTTCTATTCAAAAGTCTGATGCTTTTTGACTCTAGTGTCATCAGATGTGCTATGGTTTCTAAACCACCTTTGAACTGAATTGCTGTACTCCCAAAGATCCAATGTAAACCTATCAAATTTATGACTAGAAGATTTGACACATTTTTGACTTCAAAATGATAAGTGGGGATGTCTATTATAGTTTCACTAGGCACGCCTACAAACGTAGCATAACTGACATTTTACCTAGACCATTGGCTATTTATATATAAGGTTATTTTTGAATAATCCAACAGCAGGTTTGCTAGGATTTTATATTCTTAAGAATCATTTTATGAGAACCAGTAGGATGCCACCATTTTTTTGTGTGTGTGTATATATATATATAAAGAAAGAACAGTAAGATATATAATCCGGTGTTCTTATAGATATTTTTATTTTTACAAAATAGTGCTCAATGTAAATTTACAGAGCATTAATATTATAAATCAATTGATTTAAAAAATTTTTTTTTCACTACACAGTTCTAAACATGTTTCAAAAAAGGAAGCTGAAAGCTCTGAATTTAATTTTGTAATTAAATTAAAGACATTAGTTCCATTTCTTCCTCAAGCGAATTTTGGAGTAGCTTTTAATAGTATATGCATTTATGAACAACCACAGAAAAACAATATGCAAAGCTTAATTGATCTTACAAGCTAAATTTTATTCTATATGGCTACAAGTTGGTTATCAACAATCTGGCATTTCTCATTTCTATGAGAGCATTTTCAAATTTCCCATGTAGCTGCACAGAACTGTCACTACTGTTTGGTGATGCTAACTGCTGAATAAACTGTTTTTGAGCACTTTCAAATATTGATAAGGCTTCTATTTTGTGTATTTTTTGTTGTAATCTGCTGATATCATGACCCCCAATGAATACAGGAATTGCTTCTCATGATGTGAAGCACAAACACCATATGTTGTCCTCCATAACAGATAATTTCACTTGATTAAATAAATAGTTTCTTGAACCTAATTGGAAATGACAAGTCACAGGATGTGCTTTCTACTATGTCCACATGGTTTGAACCCCCAAATAACCTGGAAAACGGTCAGGGCTCAGGTTACTGAGTACATTCCCATGCAAAACTCAGTGATTTGGAGCCAACCCAAAGCGATAAAAATGGCACATGAGCAACAAAGACACTGAAAGAAACAGCAACCTGATCTGCGAAAGACAGTGAACCAGGCCAGACCATTCTTCAATCAACAGCTTAGAAACATGTTACCATGACATGTCAGTCAGCAATAATTTTTCTACATACAAAGCCATGACAAAGTAAGTCCTATATCCCCACTTTTTGTTCACTGTTTTAAAATTACTGCTATTACATGCAATGAGTCCATAGTCATGCATGTTTCATTAACGTGTGTTACACACACACACACACACACATTAGTGTACTATACAGACCACTTGATTTCCTCACTTGCGACAAAAACACGTTGAAACTTTGCAGACCCATTTGTGACAAATCATTTCACCCAATCAAACTATTCTTTTCATGGCCACAACAAAGAACATTGATTTTTTTTTTTTTTTTATGTGTAAATATATGTATCTCACTGTATAAATGTTATTGTCATATTTAGCTTGCATCTTCCTTTTCTGCAAAGATCATTTCTTCGTGTTGTATAAAAAGTTGCATTGTATTTGTGGACACGACACTCAGATTTTATTTTCCATCTAAAATCCAGGTAGACTGACCCCAGAGTCCATTAACAAAGCAAGAGTAGATAACAAACAAGCAAAGGGTCACAACTCCATAATAACCAGATGTACTTCATTGTCAGTAATGTTTTTACTGTTTATAGCACAATGACAATAGCATATATATGGTCAAATTCTATCTTTTACTCTGTTGGCACTTGTAATTTAAGCAGTAGAGCAGATATTATAATAGGAAAGGCCTTTAGAAGCAAAAAAGGGATACAAGTTTGAGTTTCATTGGGAGATTATCTTTATTTTTTACTAGCCTAGAAGCCGCCCTTTGGGTGGACTTTAAGGCTAGTTTTATGAACTTTTGTCTCTTTTTACTTTTATCTTTATTCTGGCTCCTTGCACATTTCTGACTCTTGGCATTCTGTCCCTACTTGCTGCCTGCACGTCATCCATAACCTTTCCCATACACTACAGTTATAATTACTACTCGACCAGCAGATACGCACGCCAGCACCAGACATTTGATATGCCCAACAACATCGCAATGCCAGCTTCCCAGCACTGACAAAATACTGTTGCTGATACCATTCCTACCTGACGCATCCGGTCCAAAGCCCGACCAATTCAACCAGCAGTGATCACCTGCAGCAACCAACGATCATTCAGCAGCGATCAGCGATCACCTGCAACAACCAGCAGCGATCAACTTCCCTTAAGTCTGACTTAAACTTTTCTCATATAATATCAGTTAAAATAACTACAGGATGCCAGCCTTGACCAGCATGTACGCAGTGCCTGCACATCAACATTCCAACCATCAACACAGCTGGAACAACCACATCTCAACTTCCAACCGTCAACATGACCAGAACAAATGCACCTCAACATCTTGTCGACACAACCAGTCCAACCACCTTTCAATCTAACCCATGGCCTCTGCTTTGTAAATAAACTTAGCATTAATCATACATATCCTTGGTCTGTTGTCCATTTTGTTTCAACTTGTCAGATTTCACATCTTTGATTAAAAAATCTTAGCAGGCCTCTTGTGACCTCATACTGATATGGGGTGTTCGGGCCGTTTTCATATCTGCCCCCCCCCCTTCAAGGGGTTCCTCTACATGTTTATTGCAAAGAGCAGTGGAAATAGCTGACAAGCATTCAGTGGTGTCTGTTGGCCACCCAAGATGAAACAAGGGTTTATTTTGATTTTACAGCCAATAAGAAAAATGGTTATTTTTAAGTTGGCTTGTGGTCCCATGGAGTGAAAAACATATTCATGCTACGATTTAAGTTTGTTAGAGGATTGCATGTGGCCACTGCTGGTGCATTGGCAACTGTCAATGTGTTAAAGAGTCTGCAGTAATTTTTTATTTTCAATACAGACCGGAAAACACCAATCTAGCAAAGAGACGTTGACACCATTTTGTTCTGTCATTCTGACCTGAAGATGCCAACTTAGCACAAAGTTGAAATGCATTTTCATTAAAAATGCTTTTCTACTTTGTCTCATTTCTCAACACAGATATATCAATAAATTTGTAGCCTAATTTTTTTTTATAGTGGTGTTCACCCTGTACAAGGCCATGGGGGCCACTCAAGGTAAAGAGTTACAGATGATGAAAAAAAGAATTAATTTTACACAGCAAATATATTTTTAAACAACCTTCCTTGTCAATACACATCACATAAATCAAGCATTATACAATGAAAATTTCAGATCAATATTCAGCTAATATCTGGCACCAGACTTATTGATTCAAACTTGTAATTTCATTCATTTAATAATAAAATATATATTTATTTTATTTTTTTACATTTGATGCTAATTTATTTTTTTATGCAGTTCTTTTTTCATCCAACATATTTGGTTGGGATCCATTTTCACAATTTCTAGACCTATCTTTGCAGTAAGTGGTGGAGGAGGAGGAGGTGGGTGTTTAGG